CATTTTATTGAGACAACATGTGATCTTTGAAAATGTGAAGAGTTCCTTTTTCAAACCTTACATTAATGCATGGTCTTATGAACAAATGCTGGACTTAAGTTCCTCCAAAAGGAAACATTCTTTTTTTCATATTTATTTCATACATTAACGTTCTGAAACTTGATCGAATGATTTGTGTGTGCACAGGTAGTTCTACATATTTAATGTGAAATTTTAATCCTACCAAAAGTTACATATTTACTTAGATCAGTGAATCTAATTCATAGTTTATAAAGATACTCATTTACACATAATTGTAGTAAGACAAAAGATCTTAATAAAAAAAAAACTATTTTCCCATAATTCCCTGGCAGTTGCAATTCTGGTAGAATGGGCAAAACCAGTGGAGGGGAGTTAACGAAACTGACTTGCTCTAGGGTGGTCCTATTGATTTACTTAGAAGCCTGAGGCCAGTGATTTTCTTTGTACTTGCACAGGTCTCTTCTGCTTGTATACAGATAGTTGGCCTGAGTGGATTGAATAATTGTCAATAAAATATGCTTTATTTCAAAATGTAACATACACATATACATATTACATGAAAGATAATAGTCCAGACTGTGATTTTGAATAATGCCTGAAAAGACTACAGTTGATAATAAGGTCATTAATAATTTTCTTTGCATTAAAAAGTTGATTTTGAAATCCATCTGAGATTCTTTAATTTCCTATTTTATATCTCTTTGCTTTGATTTGAGTTCTACAGCTATTTTATAAAGTTTTCAAAAACTTACTATAAAATATTATCATTTAATAACTGTAACTTTTTAAACATTTAAGAAATGAGATTACCAATATATTGAATTACACAATTTGGAATTACACAGTCATCTAGTACTGTTTATGAAATGCACATGTACAGCATATTAGAGTGAAAAAGACAACAAAGAAACTAGGATGATAGAATTGTATGGTTGGACTTAATACCGTGATTTCTACTTGGACAGTAACTAGAATTTATTCTAGCTCTCTGCTGCTACTTTCCAGAAGGACCTTTATAGAAGTTTAGAAACCTATGGCATGCTCAAAAAATCTTATGAATTCACAAGATGTTACTGCACACCAGTTTTCCAAAAAAGCACACTTTTTTCTTGGGGTTATGGAGTGCTGATGTGAAAATTTAAACCAAGGAAGACTAATAAACTTGTACACTGAAGCATTAGGTTAAGTTCTTTTTCTCCCCAAACTTTTCATATTTGATCTGTGGTATTTAAGGCCTTCTCGGTATCCTAATTTTAACATTGATGGCTTGATTAAAACATTATAGTTTAAGGTATGCCGACGCAGGAAAAGCAAAAGGGGTCTTCACATAATCTTCCATCTGAATTTCTAGATTTTACACTCTATACTTTTCAAAGTGCCCTTGCAATTTATGTCAGTATTAGCATTGTCTTTGTTATTGGAGAAACTCAGATATGTTGATGTTTGACTGCAGCACAGAGCTCAGTAAATTAGAATCATGGAATTTTAGAATTAAATGGATCAGCAAATCCAACCTCCTCGTGTTCAGATGAGGCATCTGAGGTCTGGTCTGGAACCCAGGGCTCCTGGTACCATATCAACAACAGCACTCCATTTAGAACCCAGGCTTCCTGTTTTCAGACCACAAAGCTAAACTCTTTTCCTGAAGTCACAAAAACAGGCTGCTCAGTCCTCTTCTGTGTGCTGGGAAAAGCTGTTCACCAGTCATGCAGGGAAAAATTAAAAACATAAACAAAAAACATCCCCAAAAAGCCCTCACAGAGCCCCAGTGAAAAAACTGTAGGGTGACTGAAGCAGCCTTCTGAGGCACTGTGGTCTTTCCTGTTTCTGAAGTTCTTCTAACCTGTCAGTTACATCTGTGTGTAAGACTGGGGGTCAGCATATGCCCAGTTCTTCTTATGGTTATTGTCACTCCAATTCCTTCTCCCCATCACGTCGGGACAGATGCCAGTGTCTCTAGAGAGCATCACCTGCTTCTCTTCTTACTCCCCCTCCTCTTTCTGTCAACTTATCACTGGCTATCATTTTATGCTTCCCTATCTCTCTCCTTCCTCCTCCAGTATTCAAGTCTGAAAGATTTAGTGAGAAGAGGAACAGGATTAATACCAGAGAATATGTACGAACTAAAGGTAAATGGCACAGGGCTAGTGGGCATGAAACTTTGATAAGCCAACTATTCTTGCCCCCACAACTAATTCATGCACGGATAATGGCAAAATATTTTTGTATTTTTGCCTGTCTTAGAATAGCACTTGTTAGATGGTAGCAACACAGTTCTCTTACTTCTGTATAAAGGACAGAAGTTTTGTTTCACAGCAGTAATGCAAGACAGTTGCTACCATCAGCTCTATTCCTTCTAATACTGATGATGATCATCATGACAATGGTAATGATGTAACGATGTGACAGAATAGAGCCTTAGTGTCAGGGGATACTTTCTATTAATTATTTGTTGGGAGTGTGGTATATTTGCTGCTGGGACATAATCTGACACAACAAACATAATGGATCTGTAATGAGTAACAATTTGGGGTGTAGTTAGTAGAGGCTGGTAGTTATCTACATTTTTACTCATTCTATCCAGTTCTATGTATGTTAGTCTAGATGGGTAGGATTTTTCATTAATTCTTGACAGTTATTTCTCCTTTAGATGGAATGAGTGCTCTGATGTACAACTCTCCTTTTTTGATTCTTACATTTTCCTACCGATTGATCTCAAAGTTTCACCAGCTATAGTGTCTCTCCCAAACGACAAGAACTGGAGTGAACTTGCAGTTCATGTTAAAAGACAACCCATTTAGTCAGTTCATTGTCACGTTTCATCCTTCTCCAGGCTAAATGTTTTTGAAGTGATATAAAAAATAAAGGAGTTACAATGTACAAAAGAAAAAAAGTCCTGATGCACAAGGAGAGAAGGAGGGCTTTGAAAACATTCTTATCTGTTCAGTTTTATAAGGGAAGATCCAACCCAAGTTTGATTTACTGTGTTATAATTAAGATCGAAACAGTTGCATGCTCTATCTTAAAACATCCAGATTTTTACTGCTGTGAAGTATTTGAAAGTTTGGAGGATTATTCCCGAAAAGGTTTCTTTGTAGTCTGTCTCATCTTGGCATCCATGACACTTCCCTAGCTCTGGATCTCTGGACACCATATCATACACAAATAGTAAAGTTCCATATAAGATGTCAGAGGAAATAAGAGAGGGAAATTATTTAAGCTGTTTCATAAAGTACTACAGCTATTTTATCTGGGATGAGTTAAGAAAGTCTGCTATCATTCTGCATTATCTGGATACTTGACCTCCAAACACAGGCAGAGCATGTGACTCCACTTAAGGGGGTTGGAAATCTACCCATGACTTGGGAGGGAGGCTTCAGCAGACTTTACATGGCCAGGACCTACTGGTGGTAAGATAATAGTTTGGAGGGTTTTTTCCCCTTGAGATAGAATTGTATTTTTTCTTTATTTTCATAAACACAAAATTTACGTTATAAGAAAAAGAAAAAGATATTCTTACCCTTGTAGGTCTATGTCAGGACTAACATAGAGTAGAATCCAACACATGATTTAAACTGGGAATACATTAAATGGATCAATTGATTAATGATTAGAATGCAATTAAAAAATAACTTATCTCAAGTCCAGTTTTAAGGTAAATAATTTATTCTCAAACTCAAGTGTTATCCAGTTTTTCCTTGTTGATCAGGAAAACTATAAAAGCAATTTCAAGTAAACTACCTGAACCAGGAACTATAAAGAAGCATAAAAATTTAAAAGAAGTGTGAATTTCTGAACTTTGGACAGGTACAAGTTTAGTTCTGGAATCTGATTCAGAATTATTCTCACTTTATTCCAAGGTAGTCTGACATCATAGTAAAACATGAAAACTAAGTTGAATCCAGTATGCTAATTTTATATTGCAGAAAATAGAAAACGAAACTTAACAACAGGACTCTTCAGATATGTCTACATTGTATGGAGAGTATCTAAAGCAGTCTTTGATTGGTTCTATGCAGTGTGCTTTATGGAAGGTGAAATATGAAAACACTATACTTACCCCTGTTCCCGGCTGCCCCCACCAGATCTCATGCCTCTAGGTCTCAATAGTGTTCAGGTGAAAGGTTACATTCCTTGTCAATGGAGGGGAAATAAGGAGGCATTCTGAAAACTCCACAGATATATCTGGAATGGCTCAAATCAGCCCTTAAAAGCATCTGGATATTCTACCCATTCACTTTTAAAATTGATGCTATCCTTCGCTCATAAAGTTTCCTTTATAACAATCAAAATGCAATTTATAAAGCATTGCTTTCTAGAGGTATTTGCTAGAACTTAAGGAAAAGGAGAATGGAATATCATCTTGCATCTAATTTATATTAAATTTTTTGAGTCATATGCTTTGAGACTACATAAACTTTATATTTCCCTAGACATCATAAATAAAAGTAGATTTCTATTGAAAATATCTTAGTAAACCAATTACTAAATATGAAGACTGGTTTAGGGGTTATAGAAATTCACAATCTGAATTCCAACTTAAGAGTTTTTGTACAAAAAAGATGATAAAATATATTTTTAATGTTTTATGTAATATATAAGGTAAAAGAAAGCAAGATATGCCATGTGGGTTGGACCATGAAGACAAGTATGAGACCTGTCCAAAAAAAGGAATTGAGAGTGATATTAACTTATAATGTGAAATGTGAAAGGCAAGCCAAGCAGAATGTACATCAGCTGTCAGATTGCTTCATTCCTTTAGAGCAGTTGTTCATCTGAAAATAGCTTTCAGATGAGAAAGGATGACTACAAAAGGATTAGTTACCATAGGCTTTTCTACATCCCCTAGAGCTCCAGGTTTGTTATGACAGAATAGCAAGAATTTAAAGGAAGTAAACTATAGAATATTAAATATCATCAGGAAGGATCTTTGTTAATGCTGAGCTAGAGTAATGCTAAAAAAGGATTTTCACTGATACCATTTCCATGGATTTCCTTCATGATGGCTGATGCTTGCTGTTTTCTCTCCTTCACCATGGTATTATGTGAAAGCATGGTCTTTCGTTCCCTGTGGAAAATAAAGGAACGTTATTGAGGCAATGTGAAGAACTCCTCTGGGGTATTTTATAATCATCCTTTTGAAAGAGAGCATCTTCGTTCTTTATTAGGAATTTATTATTGTTTCTACTGAGTGACTTTAATATGCCTTATCTATCTTGTGACAGAGCATGTTATTCATTGACAGGCAATGTCACAGTGAACAGAAGATAATACTCAGAGTTTCAGTCCCAGTCTTATCTATACACTTGTACAATGGTCCCCAGGCAGTGAGAAACAATGAGAGAGCTGCCTCCTCTCCCCTCCCTCTTTCTTTTCCAGTTTATTTTAATCTGTCATCGTTTCCTTACTGGCCTTCATTTGTACCAGCATCACGGTACATCAGTTCCAGCAAACTGTAAGAACGAAGAAAGGACACTAGATTAAACCAGAACTCTTTGGTGGTGGCATTTTAATATTAGCATCAACAGCTGCCCTTTAAAGCAAAGAATGCCCATTTATGAGTCACCACTCTGAACCTCCTTGGACAACTGACTAATAAAACATTTTAAGAAACAATATACTCACCTTGCTCTTAGGCTGTGCTTTGCAGCGGGGATGAGTCCCAGTTTGTGGAGGAAAGAGTGGTGATGGAATATGGATGGCACTTGGGCCCGATGGTTTTTATCCCTGAGCCTGGGACGGCATGGTCCCTAGCTCTGACTCAAACTGGGGACTGAGCCTTTCTGAAGAGACTGGCATCCAGCTGACATCAACTGACTATATATAGCACCAAATACTTCAGCTACTCATATCTTCCTGGCGAAAGGGAGGAACAGAGAAAGATTAGGTTCTTTCCATTGTGTTTCTAGTTTGTGAGATGGTTGAAGGAACATACAGAAAGTTTTTATGGAGCACCTTCTCTATGAGGAGATAGTAGCCAAAAGGGATTTTTAAAACTTGTTAAGATGTAGATCTTGTGCTGCATCTTCTTGAGGTGGCAAGAGACACGTATGTGAATTAGAACAGATGATAGATCATTAACCATTACAATGAAAGTATGGGTAATAATATCTATGGAGTTTCAAGAATGAAGAAAGCAATGTTGGATGAACCAGTAGAGCCATTCCTTAAGCAGGAGTGAGAACTTATGCTAGGTACAGAAAAATGGGTAATATTTGAATGGCAAAGTGGGGGAACACTTGGCAATGGTGTAAAGGTTGAACCATGAAGCTATTTGAGTAAAAGTGGAGACTCATAACTGGGTCATACTTTTTGAAGAGACCTATAAAGAAGAGAGCCTACAAAGCTGACTAATCTTTGCAAGGTCTGAAGTGAAAGATTCCTGTTTGGGAGAATGAGAGGATAACAGGTTGGGAAGGTGGGCTTTATTGGCCTCCTTGCTGGTCTTTGAGCACAGAAGAAGTATGTTCTCATTTCTGGGCTTTGCTTTTACTATTTTCTGCTTGATGGAACATGCTCTTCCTCTACCCATGTGGCTCACTCTCCCAAGCAATCGGGACTCCATTCAATTACTGGTTCCTTATAAAGCACTTCCCCAGTCACCATGTCTAAAATATCACATGGTGCCATGCTCTGGTTCCTAATTTTGCTTCATTTTTCTTTATATTTTTCATTAATATTAAAGTCAAATGGAAGTGGATGAAAAACCCCCAAAACAGAAATTTTAAAAAGACAGAAGTTTGTTTTTCCCACATATAAACTTAGTCCAGAGGTAAATAATCTAGGATTGGTGTGATTGACATAATCATCAGGGGCTCAATTGCCTTCTAATTTTTTCCTCCATTATTCCCTAAAATGCAGTCCCCTTGGGCCTCAGTGGCTGCTCCAGCTCTAGCCAGCATGTTCATATTTTAGTTAGCAGAAAAAGGAAAAAGTAATGAGAAAGGCACACTGTCTCTTCTTCAGAACGTGTCCTGATATTGCTCAGATCTCTTTGGCTTACATCCCTTTGTCCAGAACTTAGTCGAGTAGCCATACAGAGCTCAAGAGAGGCTGGGAAATATAGATTTTATTCTGTGTGGCTGTGTGCCCAGCTAAAATTCAGAAGATAACTTACTGACAAAGGAGTTAAGTGGTTACTGTGTGACAACTCCCAGATTTTGACACAAGAACATATCGACATTATTTTATCTATCTGGTGTCTCTTTTTCCTACCAAAATACAAGGAAGTCCATAAAAGCTTGGGCATCAAGAATTGTGACTAGTATGTGGTGGGCACTCAATATTCATTGAACAAATTAATAAATGAGTGGGTTGGAGATTAATTGTGGAATGCATTAAAGGTTTGGCATGAATTTGGAATTCTCTTCCTGTTATGTTAAACACTTGGGAGGAAAATAGGATTGTAATAAATGAAGAGTAACTTGAATATGGGAAGGTGGTGGCCACTTATGAGAGAAATTGTTTTGAATGAGATTGAAATAGGTTATACTTTTGGTGCCTGGTCATAGGATTGCCTGATCACAGTTCAAGGTAGTAGTAGGTTTAAGCTGATTGCTTTGAAGATATTAATTAGGTACCAATGGGAAACCATTTTGCCAAAGCCAAATGAATTTAAACTCCCTCCTAAGATTCTCTAATTGCCCTTAAATTCCTGGCTCTAGCATTTACTGTAGTAAACTATTAGTTAGGTCTCCTGAACTCTTAGTTTTCTTACCTATAAAATGGAGATTACGGTTTCTACCACATCATGTCATGGACATTTTACATGTAATAATTTTAGAAATTTCTGATACTTAATAAAAGCTTAATGGATATTAATTTTTTCATTTACTATTATTATTCCTGCAATATGAAAGTATTAGAACAATCTACTGCATTATTCAGTAAAAAATAAAAATATGTTCAGAAAACCCCAGTTTTCTTACATAGTCACCTTCATCTGTTTCCAATTTTGTGTTATATAGCTCTACAGGTTGAACTGGTATCCTAAGCAGATAATAATTGTTATGTTACCTTTGATTTCTAAAATGAAAGGAGATTTTTTATTTTTTATTATTTTTTTTTGAAAGGAGATTTTTAAAAATTAATTATTTCTTTATTTATGGGGAGAGAGAGAGAGAAACCCATGCAGACTCTACACTGAGGGTGGAGCCTGATGCAAGGCTCAATGCAGAGCTTGATCTCATGACCATGAGATCACGACCTGAGCCAAAACCAAGAGTCAGATGCTTAACCAACTTCGCCACCCAGGAGCCCCTAAGATGAAAGGAGATATTTTAAATAATTGCAAAAGTTTTAAAGAATGTAACACCTTACTTGTTTTTGTTTTTCAGTTATACTTAAAATTGTTTGCCTTACTTTTAAGCTCATTCATATATATCTTTGATCGCTTTCTGCTTTTTGAGTTATTGTTTGTTCTGAAAAGAAGAAAGAACAAATCATTGGTATTGTAGCTTTCAGGCAGTGTATGCTATCCATGTGCTTCATGACTAGGCTAAATTTTGGAAAAGAACTCTACTAGTTTTTATAAAGCATTTTCAGATGGTCCATTCTGAAAGCCAGTGCATTTAAATTTTAAATCGAGTCACAGTTAATATATTTCTATTTCATCTGCAGAGATCTGGCTCTAGATTAAACTTCCCTTACATTTGTCGTATTGCAATCTTCCTTTGTCCTCAGCAGCCCCCCTCCCATCCCCAAGACCCAAGATGGCTTCCCCCCCGCCCCTCCACACACACACACTCTATATCAGAAAAAGATCTTTCCTACCCCCAGGATCTCAGTACCTACACTTGTCTTGCCCTATTAATTGTCCTATTAATTATTCTTGTCCCTGATGCTTCTTCCTAACCCTAATATAAGAAGAGTAGTACTTCAGGTTTCCCTCAAGGCCCTAAGTATTTTAAATTAAATGGTTCTAATAATAAAAGATGAGATCTTTTCTTGTAGGCAAAATAATGCGATTCTAATGGTAGAACTCGGTGCCTTGGGAGGCTAGTGAGGAAGAAGTTTATGGCTGAACTTGTCAGTGTCTCTGTAACCAAACTATTTCCATTACTGGGGCTGCCACAGTGTGTTTCCAACTCCTTCGCCACTTACTACAAGAAATAAAGAAAGAGACTAAATAAGGTGAATTTCACTGCCAATATACCACCTAACAAAAATCCACACCATGAAAGGCAACCTTATTTAGCCAGTGTGGTAAACAATGAGCCCTTTAGCCAAGTGGTAAACAAGGTCTACATTGATCTCCCTCTGACTGAGCACTTGTTTTTAAATTCTGTGTTTCTCCTTGTCCCATTTTCAGTCTATATTAGGTGACTGTGGGCTGTTAGAGATTAGGGCAGGATCCCGGGGGTGGGGGTGGGGGCAGGATGTGGGAACTGACTGTCTGCTAGATGGGCAGACAACATATCATCATTATTGAGACTCAGTTCTGGAAGAACGCACACATAACCCAAACAGGGCAGCTGCCAAGCTAATGTTAAATGACAAATCTGATAGGATGATCAGTTATTCACCAGCCTTCAGGGTGTCATGTATGGTGCTAACCCTGGGAAGAGAGAAAGGATAACAAAGGTGTAAAAACTTATAGCCGTTGAGGCTAAGGACGCATGGGTTTTGGTTTGTGTGAAAGGCCTATCTATTCTCCTTATGGCTAGTTGGCTTGCCGTATCTTCCATGGTTTCTATTTTTCTACATCGAGGAAGGTCCAGCTTACAATCAATCTCATTACCCAGACATAGCAAGGGCAGAATAGTTATAAGCAGTGCTGTGCTGATCATCCCACTGGCCAAAGTGAGACAGTACAAGACAGGTGAGTTTGCAACTGGTCTCACTATAGCAAAGGCCTAAGGGCACCTACAGGGGTAAGAGGAACTGTTAAAACCACCATTTAGTTAATGTTTGCTAGGCAGGGCAGTTGGTCACGCATTGGTCTACGGTTTTGTAACCTGCTCTGCCTATAAATCGAGGGTGAAATGTTTCACCTTAATCTGAAAGGAGAAATCAAGTCCCCCAAATTGTGTGTGTGTATATATGTACTAAACAGCATCACGTAAACACATATATGCAGTGCTTGTGGTCCCAATCAAAAAATAAGTGGAGGAGAGAGGAAGAAGTAAAACCAGATGAAACTGAGAAAATATGATGTCTAAAGTGGACAAAGGGCTTTTTCTTAAAAAAAAAAAAAACCAAAACACACAACTTTTAACTTCATCATACTTTTTTAGCCTTACTCTTGCATTACAGAGGAGGAAACTGACATTCTGAGAGATCAAGTAAAACCCCCACGCATCATCTTTGAAAATTATAGAGATGGAATTAACCATTTGTTTTGTCTGATCCAGAGCCTCTTGTATTTTCACTATACTGTGCAGAAATGTCTATCTTCCCAATCTCCGAATTTCTCCGCATTGATATCTTCATAACAAAAATAAAGAAGCAGCATTGAGAACTGTCAGAATAATTATTTCAATGTGCTCCTTATTGATTCCCTTTAGAAGAGAGCACCCCAACATGTGGTTTATTTTGGCTGGGGTCCTTTTTACTTATAACATTTGTGGCTCTTTTCCATCTCATGTTTTTCTCGTTTGCAAGCTTCTAGAGCTCCTCATGGTGTCTATTCTCAGGGTGCTTTCCTTTCCTTCAGCTGTGCAAATACTAAAGTTATTCAAGTGCTGAACATAAACAAATGGAAACATGTGCCATTTGCTGTGCAGACCTCTCCTTCCTTTCCTGGCTGCTGTACCACACACACAAACACGCT